CACAAAGGAAACACCTGCCCATGTGGACAGTTTGCCAAAGCTGCCAGTGGGATTTCCCCTCGGTCTACCCCTATCTAAAAGGGCTGGCCACCCACCTACAGAGTGGTTGGCAGAAATCAGGAAGAAATGATGCTGAAATAGCCACTTAGACTTAGCCAAGGAGGAAGGCTCCTTGTCCCCTGGTATGGGCGTTTGTCTTACTAAATGGAGAGCTTTTGAGGGTGTCTTCCCAGTCCACAGTGGACCCCTCAGCAATGCCCCTCCTTTGCCACTCCACACTGCCATAGACACAGGGCACTCTTGGTAGCCATAGGTCACCCTTTGGCTACAGACTGGTTTGTAGTTGCACCAGACCCAAGCTGGACCCCTTATTCCTGTAGGTTTAGGAATTGGGATCAGAGGCTGCATTTGTAACATTTTGGTGCCTTCCAGGCTGCAGAGAGAGAAGAAAGCTGACACACTAAGCAGATCAAAAATAAGAGAATGAGGGAGTTCAGGGCCTCTTGAGTCCTGTCTCAGCTTCCTGCTCTCCCCTTCTTGCGTTCTCAGCCCTGCCTCTGTTCTATACTAAAATCTCCTTTAAGCAAGGTAGCCTTGGGACAAGTCTATGCCTTGTCATTGAAGGAGCTGAACACCGAGTCACGCATTCAGACACTCAACAGATATTCATGGAGAACCCAGGTAGTGTAGATGTGCCTGGGTTGGGCAGAAAGGAAGAATCAGACATGATCTCCACCCTCAGGGAGCTCACAGGCCAGCGTGAGCCCTAAATAGATCTGTCTAACCCAATATATTAAATGTGGTGAAAAGGACACCAACGGCAGCACGGAAGGAAAGAAGGCCAGGTGGAGACCAGGAAGCTGCACGTGGAGGAGGGGACACTTGGGCGAGTCTTAGAGAATGGAGGACGGAGCCCACACTGTGGCAGGATGGTCCTGGCGAGGACGACAGTGTGTCCAAAGCAGTGCAGGCTAGCAGGGTCAGGGAGGTGCCACGCTAGGAGCCATAAGCAGTGAAGCAAGGTGTGTGGAAGGGGATCAGACACGGCTCGCACTTCACAAAGCTTGTCTTGGGGGGCACCATGTGCAAAGTGTCACTGCATTGAAAGTTCAAGACGGAGGGAGGGGAAGAAGCAGGGAGACGGGATGGTCACGAGCACCACCCTACAGCTGGGTAGGACGGATCACTGCTGATTTCCATAGGACAGCAGGATGGCTATGGTTGACAACATGGACTGTTACGAAACAGCTAACAGGATTTTAAGTGACCCCAACACAAGGGATCAATTACACTGACCTGATCAATACATATTGTATACATGTATTAAAATGCCACCCTGTACCCCATTAGTATGTACAATTACTATGTATCAATTTTTAAAATATACAATTAAGAAGTTCAGTCTGGGGTGTAGCTCAGTGGTATAGAGCACCTGCCTAGCATGCACAAGGACCTGGCCCTAGCACTGCATACACACAATTAAAGACAATCAAAATAAAAGACTTCCAATTACTGCTAAATGAGAGGTATCTGAAGTGTTACAGAAGCTCAAAGGAAGAAAATGCACTTCCAGCTCCAAAGTCTACGAGGGACTTTTCCAAGCTGATGGGGCCTCGAAGGATACAGCAGGTTCCAAGAGAGGCGGCATGTATCCACACCGCAGCCCTCAATGCTCGTAAAAATGTCCCGCAGTAAGCCTGGGTGACACAGGGAAAGGAACATAGCAGAGTGCCGGTCTGAGGCTGAGGGAACTGGCTGAGTGACGGGCTTTGCTCACAGAACCGGAGGGGCAGAGGCTCAGGACTCCCCCATCTGCAGCGCTTTCTGCCACCTCTTCTATTAAACAGGGAAAGGGACAGAGAGCTGTGGATCCCGAGTCACTGAAACTTTCTCCTGGAACCCCCTCCCAGCCCAGTTTACCTTTCCCCTTGTGGAAGCTCAGGGGTGAGGGGTGCTCCTGAAGCGGGCAAGAAGGAACCCAGGTGTGGTTAATATTTGTTTTCCCTGTATGATTGTAAGCACCCAGAGCAGAGGCCAGCTATGAGGCCAGCTACGATACGTGGTCTTCAGCAATTAAATGCACAGGAGCTGGCTCATTACTAGGACTGCAGGCACATTTACTGCATCTTTGAGTGAAAACCAAGGAAGGGGAGCATTGAACAACCAGCTGGGAAGGGGGAAGAGGAGGCGCGGGTGTGCACACTTCCAGTGGGAAGCACAGCCTGTGGCATCGAGAAGAGACTCCTCCAGAGCCTCTCTTCCTCCTGGCTGCCTCCCTCATGGGGACCCAGACTGGCATCCTGAGGACAGGCAGGCGAGGAAGAGGTAAAAGAGGGACAGAGGGCAAAGGGAGGGAAAGGGAGGAGCCAGGGAGGAGAGCAAGCAAGGCCATAGCCTCCCTCCCTGGCCCTCGAGAGCACCAGCTCCTGCCTCACGCCATCCGCCTGTCCCTCCCTCCTGCTCCACCTGGCACCAACGCTGGATGAGCAACAGCTGGGGCAGGGGAGGTAGGGCTCATGCCAAGAGCCACAGGCAGTTTCATTTGGCAGAATCCCAAGGAGAAATGGCTCCGTTTCAGCCTCCAGAGGGAAGGCCACCAAGTCCTGCCCACCCTGACAAGGATGGAGGAAAGTGTGTCCACCTTTCCAAACTCAGAATGCAGAATGTCCAGCCAAGGTGAACAGTGCCCCTCTCTGTGACCATGGAGCGCCGGACCGCAGAGCCTGACGCTTCTCTGTCCACACCTTTGCGGCGTGGGCCCCAGGGTGGCCTGGCCTGGCCTGGCCTGGCGTCTCAGCAGTGTCACTCGGGCATCTGAGCAAGAGAGGAGTCCGGGATGCAGCCGAGCACAGAGGATCTGTTTCCTTCTCCGAATTCCCACAGCCTTCCCTTCACATTGTGCTCACAGCGGTGGGGAGGCAATGAGCACATGACAAGGAACAGGGACAGTTCAAGGCAGGACAGGCAGGTCTCACAGATGAGCAGGGTGAGGGGCTGCCGTCACTCAGCACATGTGACTCGCAGGCCCTGGAGGCTGGAACTTTCCATGAGCAAAGCCCTCCATTCTTAGGCACCCGGCTCATTTCCTGCATCGGCCTCCACACTCGAGGCTCACTGTGCCGATGGTCTGTCCAGGCAAACTTGGACCAGGCAAGGCCACATGCTCACCTGTGTACACACGCACACCACACATTCCACGCATGCATACTCCGTGGTCCTTGGCACCTAGTATCTCCTAGGCAGGTGCACTCAAGAGTCTCCCATCTGTGTCAAATCTCTAGAAGGAAAAGCGTAGAAAGTAAAATTCCTCATGTTAAGTTCCTGTTTCCTGAGGGAGAGGGAGAATCCACATTTTACCCACAACACAGTAGTTGTGGCCGTGACCAACACACTGGGTTTTCACACGGAGGAAACATCCCACAGCTTCCTGTTTTCAAGAAAGGCAACGTGGGCGTTGCTTTTAGGAACTGGGCTGCTCCTGAGGGCAGCAGGCAGAAGCTAAGCTCTCAAAATAAAATCCTGGCTGGAAATGAAATTGGGTCCACATCTACTCACTGTCCTCACAGATGGCCTTAAAAATCCCCTGCTGTTTAGTTTTCTAATAAACTTTTTTCATTTTGGTTTTTTAGTAATTTTTATTCTAGCCCAGGCTGGCCTCAAACTCCAGGCCATCTTTCTGCTACAGCCTCCCGAGTGCTGAGATAACAGGTGTGTGTGTGTGTGTGTGTGTGTGTGTGTGTGTAACAAGTTCTTGATGTTATCACATGAACTCATTTAACAATAAAACAAGATCTCCACCCCACGCCCTTTGGCCAGAAAGGTTTTATTTTAGCAAAGTGAGTGGGACGAAATATATTTGCAGAGTATTTATTTTTTACCTCTGCCGGGCAGTACAGCAGTAGCAGCTCATTTCAGATCACATGGACCTCAGCCAAATATGGTTGAATTGAGGACTTCCGCCCTCGCTTCCTCCCCTGCCAAAGCTCAGGTCCTGCACATCTGTCTTTTGTCCCTGTCCCCGCCCAGCATCCAGGCAGGAGCTCCCCAAAGCACGGGCTTCAAATTCTCTTGCTGAGAGAATGTGAATTCTTTTTTTCCTTTCTGGAATTGGAATTCACTAGCATCAGTTCCTTGCATGGCTTCTTCCTAAAAGTTTATGGAAATAATAGGCAGCTCTGAAACGGAAGTCCCATTACTTCCTGTTCATCCCTTCCCTGTGAATTTCAATATCCTCCAAGAGGCCTGGGGCAGCGATTCCTCCGTGTGTGGTTTGTGGTTTTTCAGGGGGTTGGCGCCAAGTCTATTTTTAAAGTATTAACTGTAGTAGCAGTTTGGCTTTAAGAGCTTTCTCTTTCCAGGTGGATTTTTGGGTTTTGAAAAATTAAATATTCTTGGACCTGGCATGGAAAGAAGTACCAGCTTGTTTCAAAACTCCATTTTCTCTGAACTCTTTCTCAACCAGCGTTTTACACAGGAGAGAGGGACTGGGTTCTCAGAACTGTAACCTCGTAATTTCACCGTCCCACACACACACATTTAGGGGTGGGGTGCAGATCCCAGGTCACCACTGAGGCGCTGCAGGTCTGACAGCCGAGTGAGCTGAAACAAAGGGCCCGTTCCACTCACCAGTGGCAGAGCAAAGTCCACACTGTCCCATGAATATGACCATTGTGTGGCCCAATATGGCCCAAGGGTCATTAACTATTAACCTTGACCTGCCAGGACCTCCTCTGCTCCGCTTCTGTGTGCTGCAGAGGGATCCCCAAAGTCCAGCCCAACACTTAACGTCCCATCAGGAAAGAGTAGGAGCCCAGCAAAGTATCAAGACAAGTACTCTGTCCTCCTTGGTAAATTTCTACATATTTTGTTCAACAAAGGCTTCATCCCAACTGGCACAGAGAGAAGCAAAAGGAAATGTAAGGGTTGTATTTAGCGAGATGAAGCCTGAGAAGGCAGCAAGCTCACACTTACACAAGTTCTGCAGCAACAAAAGCCAAGTCTAGGGTGTCAACAACAGGAAGTTGTTCTTTATTCCAGAAATAGACCTTCGAAAGGAAGCAGCTCGGTGCTAATGAGAGAGGGTGGAGCAGCCGAGTGCCACACTGCTGGCTCGTGCACCCACCCACCAGGTCTGGTCTGTGCTGCTTTGCAAACTGGAAGCATTTTCTAACAACTCTTAAAAATACCATTCCCAAGTGAATTTTTGTATTTCTCGTGGAACCAAAAGATGCTCCACAACACAGCAACACCAAGTATTTTAATTAAATTATTTTACTGGAAAAAACATGCCACTTTGAGCACCAGAGCAAAAGACCACTGCAATCAGTGAGGCAGGTCAGCTGACAAGAACAGAAGGCTCAAGGCAAGCCTGAGGCTTGGCCACAGCCCCCGGGAAGGGTCAGGCCAAATGCACCGGGGTCCCACAGTGTTTGTGCCACAAGTCGATGGCCTTGCTCACGATGGCATCCGAGCTGTCCTGGGGAATCTGCGAATGGCAAAGCAACCTGGGTGAAATTTCTAGGTTTCAAACTTTGGAATCTTCTCACATTCACTATGGCATAAAAATTACAGCACAGTATTTCCATGCAAGTTTTCACTTTTCCAGAAAGTGATAGCATAAAAGGACTGTTTCAATGCTACTTGAGGACATACTGAGCGGCTCTGGTGTCAGACTGCACTGGTGCAGGTTCAAAGCCTGTGCTGCTTGCTGATCGGTGGGCCCTTCCTAGAGTTCCCTGGAGCCCAGAGCCCCATCTCTAAAGGGGGGACAGACACCTGCTGTGTATAGGAGGACAGGAGTAATCCAAGGCCTGGCACTACTGACCGCTGATTATGAGGAGGAGGAGGATTCATTAGTGAACACAGTCACTTAGTGCTGATTATTTACCAAGCCACTGTCCAGATGTTTATACAGACTAAAGGGGCACAGGTTTTGGGTCTCATCCCTGACATACTCTTTATCGCTTCTTCCCTAGCAGAAGAGTCCAGGATACACAGAGGGAAAAGCTAATTCATTTATACCTTTTTCAATATGCACTAAGATAATACTCAGGACACTTAAAAACTCAACTGGAATTACGTCAGCAATAGTAACAGAAATCAAAGGGGCCACAAGTTCCCCGAAATAACACAATCCTTTTTCCACTGATAAAAATTACAGCGAGATCTCACCTCTTCCTGTCCCTGACACACATGCTGGTTGTCACAGGGGACGAGGTCCTGGTCCCCAGTGGCAGACCCAGCAACCCTCGAGGAGAGAAGGATACAAAGTATAATCCCCAGGCCAACTTCACGCTGCCATGTTTCAGGGAGAGAAGTGGGTTTTTTTTTTTTTGAAGTACAAACATAAGGTATTATTTCTCTGCAATAATTTAATGTAGTAGGAAAATCTGGCTTGCTAAACTGACTTCATTTCTAGATTCAAGATCAAATCAAATGCACACTTACATTTTCCAGGAACTTTGTTATCTTCTCTGGACTGTTCAGTGCCATTACTTTTATTTTAAAAGTTAATAAAATTTCCACAGCTACAAAAACTAGGATCTTACAGGATCCACTTACAACTTTATCCCAAACCCTACAAAAATAAAGAGATATAATCAATTTACATAGGTTTGAAATCCATGTTTACCTATAAACATAAATTATGTTTTCAAATTAGAAAATAAGATCAAATTATTCCTATTTTAAGTAAAAGCTTCAGGGAATGACTATGAAAGAATTATCAGAAGCAAAACAGATGAGCCATGTGAAATCTACTCCAGATAGAATCAGCGTTAGAAAAAAAGTTCACTGAAAATGACTGCTTGGGACTCGGGATGTGGCTCAGTGACAGCGCATTTGCCTCACATGTGCCAGGCACTGGGTTCCATCCCTGACACCACACACACACACACACTCTATGCTCTCCTCAGAATCTACCAAATGCCCATTTCCTCATATTCCAAACCTGACATTTTCACGGAATGAAAAAAGTCCTAAAGTTTGCATTTTATTAATATTCTGTAACATTCATATAATTATTGCATATAAGGGACAATAGCAAAAGAAGCATATGAAATGTGATAGAATTACCAGTGATTCTGGGAGCAGATTCCGTAAACTTCTCTATGGGCTTAAGGAGGCAGTTATTGTTCCATTCTACTCTAATTATTCTGCTAACTCCCAAGACTTTTGAAGTTGATATGATCATGTATACCACAGGTGGTAATCCTATGGCATGTAATGTTATTGTTCTTTTACAGCAAAACATGTTAATGCATGAGTTGTTTTTTATAATTAAAACCTCAGTATTCAGGTTTAGTTGCAGTGTTGGCACCTTGTGATACATAAGTGGGGTTGGGTTACCGTTTGGGCACTCGTCTAAAGGTTCGCCATCACCGGTCTGTACACTTAGTTCTGTATTGTGTTCTAATGTTCCCCCGTGTCCTGCATTTCTTCCCAACCACATCATAAAGCCCTGGAGGGGTGGGGCCGGGACTCAGAAACACCCACCACAGGTGACTGGAACTGGCTTAGAGAAGCAGGTTCACTTCTCAGATCTTTGAGTGCCTTCAGCTCCTTTTTAAAGGTACCATGAAGAAACAGAAATACCAAGATTTCTACTAGATCAGTATCTACCACAATTCTAGAAAAAAGGAGCTCCTGCTTACACCAGCTCCTGGACACTGTTTCAGATGTGACTGTTATATAGCACCTAACACACAGAAGGTGCTCAATCAAAGAGCATATCCAATAATAAGCAGAATCATGTGCTGTTATGGTAGTTGCTAGAGAATTTAGCCTCGAACCTGTACTAAACAAATGTATGTGCTGAGGGACAATTGCAGGAAAGGCCAGGATTCCTCTCTGACTTCAGGCTCCCGATGCGTCTTGGAAGGAAACACTTGCCTCTGTAAGCTGGATGCAGGCAGGCATCCCGCAAAGCACCTCTTGAACCAGAGATCGCAGGGCAGCTTGGACACTGCAGAGCAGGACTTCAGATGACTCAGCAGTCTGCCATCTTCCAGATTCAAGTATTGTTCCAAAGCCTTTGGCTAGAGATTAAACAGGAAGAGAGGTCAGTGGCTTCCTGTGACATGATGTCACCTGATGTTACAGCCTATGATGAAAAAACATGCAAGGAAGAGCTAGAAAACAAAACGTACACCCATCCAAGTCACTTGTGACACAGCAGTTTCCAGAGCGGGCCCAGCTTCCAGGACTGAGGGGTTTCCCCTGGCCACACTTTTACTCTTCAGTCCAGGCCAACCCCAGGCAAAACAGTCAGTCACCCTGGTGCTTACTGCACAAACCACATCCAGCAGCCTCAGGAAAGTCCAAACCATAATTCAGTCATTCTGAGGAGCTGAGAAGAGCCTGTGACAGTACTGGCTGGTCTGGAGCAGTCAATTTTCGGTGGGTTAAACTAGACTAGACTAGACTGACAGGAGGGATGGATGGGATGGATGGATGGCAAGCAAAGAGAAAGAGGGAGGCTAAGACCAAAGAAGTGGAGTGGGATTAGGATGGGAGGAAGATGGAAGAATGTGACAAAAAAAGACAGTGATGAAAAGTGGCCAGTGAATCAGGTGCATTTTGAATCTGTGACTAAAAGGATGAACTGAGAGTGTAAGTGGTAGTTCTAGTGATTACTGTGTGGCCCTGGACAAGTGACTCAGCTTCTCTGTGCTTCAGCAGCCTCACCGGTAAACATAGAAATAATATGCTTAAATGACATAATTCATTCATAAAGCAAAGTTAGCCCTGCCTGACACAAAGCACCTTGTCCACACACAAGCCAGGTGAGGGAAAAGGAAGAGGTCAGAGGTGAGCTAGCAGGAGTTGTGACGTTGCAGTGAAGTACAGGAGTGAATTCCCCCTCTGTCTGGTAGCAAGCACAAAGAGAAATCCCTGCCAAGTTAACGGGCTAACTGTAAAATGTTCAAGGAGCTAAGAAAGCTAAGAGAAAACACATTTTTTAATGTGGGGGTTGGAAAGGGCTCATTAAGCTATAGAAGAAGCAAAAGAAAAATACTGACAAGTCTCAGTGTATCAAACCTTAAAATCTTTGTATGACAAACGGTGAGAAAGTGTTTGGAATATATGTATAAATACAGCATAAACATCCGGAGTATATGGGTCACACTTATAAAGGAAAAAAAGCCAAGAAAGTGACAGAAATCTGCAAAGCTGCTCAACTTCACTAGAAACTGCAGATATGTAAATTAAAATGAGTAACATCTTCACTATCAGATGGACAAAGATTTATGAGATCGGAACTGTCAGGTATAAGCAACAAGTAGAAAACAGAAGACCTCATAATGTGTTTTGGAGAGCATATGGCCATTAAGAAATAAACAGAATTTCAGTGTCTCCTTCACTCACACACTCCCTTCCAAGTAGCAGCCTAGAGGATATGCGTATACATGGTGACCATGTACAAGGGCAGGTTACTGTCGGTGTGTGGCTGTTAGGATGGGCAGGTGCATAACAGGAAGTACTATAACTAAATTAGAAAAAAAGCAGTTCTAAATGAGTGGGTCTCAACCCTAGCCACACTTCAGAGTTGCCTAGAATCTTTAAAAAATTAGAATTCTAGGGCCCCACCCGAGAGATTCTGATTTAACTGACCCAGTGGAGGAGGAAAAGTCATAGGAATTTTCAAAAGCTCCCAGGTACACTAGTGGGAAATCAGGACCAAAAAGCAGTGATGTAGCTGTGCAAACTTGCCAAGTTCTCCAAGTTAAAAACAGAATTGTATAGCCGTATGTACAGTGTGAGGCTGCTCACGTGTTTTTAAAATATCACTTGATATAACCACAAGCAGGCAAAGGCCTAGAGGAGGCAGAGCAGGCCGGTGACAGCATTCACTGCTCGGGAAGGGAGTGGAGGTGCTGGCCCAGATCTAGGGCAACTCGGGCTCATCTAGGTGGTTTGGTTTCTTCTGAGAATCTACTCGTTTATTATTTAGGGTTCCCAAAATAATTTTTTTAGATATAGCATAATTTATTAAAATGCCAACTTCAATATTAAATAAAAAAAGCTAATTAAATCACAGTATGATTAAGACCTTCTGATTTAATTAGGCAACAAACATTATGTTTACTTAGGCTCCAATTCCATGCTTAAAGTGTTTTTATTAAAATCAACTAAGTGGATAAAAATCTCAAAATCCTAGAATCAAATTTTATGCAATGAAAATATGTAAGGGGCTGAGGATTTAGCTCGGTGGTGCCACCGCCTGCCTCACAAGCACAATGTCCGGAGTTCGATCCCCAGTACCAATAAATAAATAAATAGATGGATAAATGAATGAAAGAAATATGTAAAAACTGCTCTCGTAAGAACTGAGGCTGGAGGCTCCTGCCTCCTGTCCCTTCCGTAGGCAGGGGGCACAGTTGTGCCATGGTCTTCGCAGCTCATCTGCTGTCTTCACTGCCCCTCGCCTTCCTGGCACCTTGGGTCACAGTTTCCACTTTCAGAAGTTTTCAAATAGACTCAGTGATTTAAGAAAAAAGACAAATTCACTTTTATAAATGATATAACGAAGGGAAAAACTGGAAAGAAGAGAATCGCCAAGGAAGACTGGCTTATGCCACAAACCAAGGGCCACTCTGCTCCTGGGATGCGAGCGGGGTTTGGCGCCGAGCTGCCCCATCCAGGCAGCTTCCTCACTAAGAGGGTCGCTCCAGATCACCACATACCAGGCTCTTAAAAGTTCTGCTGCCCAGCCTCTGCTGCACAGAAGAAAGCCAAGTGACACAGTGCTGGCCACTAACACACATGTCCCTGACTTACGACAATTTGCAGATTTTTCAACTTGACAACGATGTTGAGAGTGATACGCATTCAGGAGAAAGTGCAGGTGGAATTCTGAATCTGGGTCTTAGCTCAGGCTGCTGGCACATGGTCTTACACTCTTTTGCCCATCCAGGCACACAATCACGAAGAAAGTCCACCCACACTGTGGCTGCTAAACTCTGATGTTCAGAAGCTGCAGTGAACTACGTCTTCGCCTTATGATGGTTTACTGGGATGCAGCCCCACCATAAGCTGAGGAGCATCTGTATACATGGACAAGGAAAGCCTGCTTGTGACTTGACGGGCTTCTCCCTTTTCCTCCCTCACACTTATCTTTGCCCTCCCCTTCCTTCCTGCCCAGAACACAGATCTCATTCATGGCTTCTGGACCAACAGGACTGGAAGGACTGTGTCTAATGCTGGAGCAAAATGACAGGAGTCCATACTGTGGTGCTGTAGCACCACCTGTGGTCTGCTTCACCTCTGGACTTCCGGTTACAAGTTTCCATTACTTGGGTCTCCCATTATAGTACATGCCAGCAAACTCAAACCCTACATAATACATGTAGAAGGGTCATTCTAGATAAAGCCAGTGGGTTCTGGGCCAGGATACGGGATACTATAGACCAAACACTGTCAAAATGTAGCCTGCAATGCTGTGTTCCAGACCTGGCACTCTTTAGTACATGTCATGTCTATGGTTGCTTTTGGGCTCCAGCAACAGAGACAGGTCTGTGGCCACCACACTGGAGAAGTTCACTATCTGGCTTTACACAGGACGCATTTACTGAGCCCCGGCTGCAGAGGGTCCACTCATAATTACAGCAGCACCAGGAGGTTAGGTTCTCTCCACCACTCACCCAATAATTAGCCAAAAACACCCCTCACCAGCTGTGGCAAAGAATCCCGGTACTTGTTATTTAACTGGTTCATGAAGCATCGGATGATCCAGTAGCAGTCCACACTATCTTCCACCATCTCTTCCATGGCTTTAGCAATGGCAAGAAATACTTCATCTTCTGGCTCCTGAAAGATTCATAGAAGATCTTAAGAGGGGGCGGGAGAAGAGAGGAAGACACAGTTCTATAATAAAAATGAAACCTTGCCACTTTTGAAAAAGCTGTATTAATAAGTCAAAGTCTGATCAAAAAATAGTAAAGAGAAGTGGGGCGGGGAGATGAGGGACTTTAGAAATCTATCTGAAGAGGTGCTGTTTAAGGACTCATTTTTAGGGAGCCTCCACCTTCTAACACTGAGCTCATCACAAAGTCAACACAAACCGGGAGCAAGTCTCTGACTCTCTCCACCCAGAATCACTCACAGTGCTAGACCAGGATCTCCTCCAAAAGTATGTGATTAAACAGCACGTATTTGGACACACTTGTCAGCAGAGTAGTTTGCAAATACTGAAGGACTTCAGAAGGACTTCTGCTTTGCTTTTAGGGAGTTTGCTTTATTTCAAAGCATTCATGCATATATTTAGAATTCTGCCCTATCTTAAGCTCCTAAATTTAAAAGTCTCTAGAACCAGAACTTGAGGAATCAAGAGAATGTGCATCAATACTCAGAACATGAAAGTAAAGCCTCAAGTAAATTTCAACAGAGAAATCCTATAAAAACTGCAACCTGGGCTGGGAATTTGGCCCAGTATTAGAGCACCTGCATTACATGTGCAAAGGTCCTGGGTTCAATCCCAGGCATTGGAAAAAAAAAAATAATAAGCACTTGGAACTTTGTCTGGAAATCTGTTTTGTTTTCCGACACTGTAATCATACAGAAAAGCTTTACATTTTCATCTAGGATTTCGTAGCTGATCCATTTTAATGTTAAAATGAAATTAAGCATCTTTCTACTTCCCTAAAAAAATTCCAAGTTACATCCAAAATTCAATTTTAATAAAAGTATCTCACTTTTAGGCACTCTTTTAAATTGTTAGTATTCTATAAATTACTGAGAATAATAGCATCATAGAAAATTAATTCTTCTAAGCAACGATGTGTCAGAGAAGGGAAGAGAAATCTCCTTTCTTAGACTCCCATGCAATCCTGGGTCTGATGCTAGATGCCCTTGGAGGTCACCAACTCTCCCTCTTCCAGCAAGAGGACCAACGCCCTTCGGCCGGCTACATTTCTGCCTGAGTATCACCACACAGTCTCACTAATGGATAAAGAAGGAGCAGGGCTTGGTGACTGGGGAGACAGGGACCCAAACACTTGAATAGCAAGTGTGCCCTGGTCTGGTTGGGAGCAGGACAAACTGAGTAAAGACCTACCGTTTACACTTCTGGAGCTAACAGGTTATCCTAATTTAGTTTGTAACTGAAAGACTCGTGTGCCGTATTGGCAACTTCATTGTCCCCATGATAGTGATGTGACAAGTTCCAACTATTTTTTCGAAAATTTCTCTCTCTTGATAAATTTTCAGTGAAAGTCAATTACCTTTGTTAGCTCTAAGATTGGTCCATGAGTATTATATCATTAAATTCAAAAAATAAAAATAAATATTTTTATTACGGATTGCAGTCTAATCTGCCAATAAATTGATTTTGTGGATCAGCAAAACTTACAAGCAATTCCCTGTTTGAACCATTCACTCTGTTTTAGCCAAACAAACCATTAAAATGCCCAGCTAGAACTGCAGCAAAATAACCAAAGCTTGAAATCTATAATTATTCCTCTGCCTGCCCACTTCTTCCTCCTCTCCCGAAGAGTAAGTAGCCCAAGGAACTGAGGTAAGGGATTTGCTGGAGGTGAAGTGAACAAAGCGGCCTGGAGCTGGGGACTGCAGCAGAGCAGGTGGGCAAGGCCAAAGTGGAGGCTGAGGCTGATGAGGGTCAGGGCTGGAGGGGACAGGAGCAGCCAGGGACCACCTCGACCCGCAGGTCCAGGGCCAAGGGGACAGAGGCACCTGCAGGTCGAGGTCAAGGTGGCTGGTGCTGCTGGGTACTTGTAGGAAAAGAGCAAGGAAGCAGAGAAGTGAATGTATCAGGGCCGAGCAGAGCCCTTTCACATCTGTGCTGTCAAGGGGAGGTGCAAATGCAGAAAGGGTAAAGGGTGGAATGAGTTTGTGATATTGGACTGAAATCGAACGCATCAGTAGGAACTCCAAATCTTAGGCATATATAGGTATGATGTATGTAGGTGTATGATTATATACACTCATATACATAACATACAGGGTGTAATATAAAGTCATGGTAAATGTTTAAATATTTTTGAAAATGACCACAGTAAAAGACACATTGCCATTAATCCCCCTCAGTATACCTTTCCCTTGCTTAAAACACTCATCCCATCATTTTTGCCACTTTCTGAAGTAGTTCTGTAAGTCCTCTTTCCTGAGTGTCTTAGTGAGGTGGCACCAGAAATACAGTGAGTGCCGCTGCCTAGTTCTATTCAGTGGAAAAGCAGCCTCCTAAAAACACTACAGTGTGTCCTCTTCCACTTTATTCACCAGAGGTGCACCTCGAGGCTTCTGGCTTTTCCTCAAAATGACCATGGAAGGTAAATGTTTGGAATCGATTCAGAACATCAAGACAGCCATGACAATGCAACTAAGGACACTCAGGAAAGAGGGCTTCCAGAACTGCTTCAAAAAGTGGCAAGAATGATGGGATATGTGTGTGAAGCGAGGGGGATTATTTGTGGGGGTATGAACGCCAATGTGTCTTTTACTGTAAATTTAAATTTAAACATTCACTGTGGTTTTTGACCACACCTGGAGCTAGGGGCATAGCTCAGTGGCAGAGCACTTGTCTGGCAAGTGCAAGGCCAGGTTCCATCCCCCGTGCCAAAACAACACAAAACAAAAATCCCCTACCTATAACATGTATGCAGATATATAGACAGATGTACGTGAATGTGTGTGTACATACATGTGTTTCCTACCTCTGTCTACTGAGACAATCTAGAAACAATGACAGCCTAGAATAATGAACATACATGGTATCTTATTTTTGGTTTCTAAATATCACACTCCCCTGCAAAAAGAAGTGGCTGATTCCACAGCTGCAGCACAGAAAGTACAAAATGAGCCCGGAGCATCTTGTTGTGGCAGAAAGGCAGGAAATATTCAAACTGATGGGAAAGGCATGGAAGGGGTTGCCGCTGACGAAGTGTGGCACAGTCTGAGCCCCAAAACTAACAGCAGTCACTGATTATAGGGCACTGGATAAAAAAGGGCTCCACAAGTTCATACTGGTATCAATAAACACAAGAAGGAAAACTCTTCTCTATGTTAGAAAACCAACTAAATGTGGAAGGAATGAAAAATAAATTAACCATTTGGCAGCCACCATGGTAAAAATTGTTTTAGGCAAGAATGGTGAGTGGGTAGATTTTTACAAGTCTCAAAGTACCTTGCCCCCGGTTACTTACTAATTACATAGGAAAATAGTAACTTTACAGCGGAGAAAGCTGGCAACACCACTTTCATAACTGATCAAAGCTACAGCAACCTCTGTGGTGCTCTTGCCAGTAGTGCACAGCCAGATTCCAATCACGAGGAAACATCAGAAACGCTCCACTGGCTAGCACATTTCAAAAGTGTCCAGGTCATGAAAGCACAAGAAAAGTCTGAGGAGCTGTTCCAGATTAAGGCAGACTAAGACATGGTCACTTAAGGTAAGGTGTGATCGGGGACTGGATCCTGGATCAAAAGAAGGGCATCAGTGGAACAATCAGCAAAACCTCAGTATGGTCTAGAGCTTAGCTCTGAGTGTTGTATGAAGGCCAATTTTCTGGTTTTGATCATTAGACCGTGGTTATGTAAGAGGTGGCAGCTGAGAGTTCTGAGTGATGCTGTACTATTTTTTTCAACATTTTTGTACACCCAAAATTATTTAAAGGTGAAAAGTTAAAACATAAAGTTCTCTTAAAACTTAAAAAAAAAATCAGCAGATGTTAAAACTCATGGATAAAAGTTTAGTAAGGACTAGGATAACTACACAGCAGTTTTAAAGTCTCTCTCCACAAAGGGACATAGTAATAGGAAGGGAAAAAATCTCCAGCGGAAAACCCAGCAGGCACAAGTGAACCTTTCATGAGACAAATCCACAAGGGGTGCCTCTAGCCATCACCCCAGGTACGGTCCCTGCCGAAAGCAAATAACCAGGCTATAACCAGGAGGGAGCACCAGCCAGACCACAGTGAGGGGCTGTTGCAAAATAACTGACCTACACCCCTCAAAAGTGTCAAGGGCATGACAAGGAGGAAAAAATAAGACAACAGACCCAAATCAGAGGTGACTAAAACAATATAACAACTCTACGCAATCTATAATCCAAGGTTGAATCCTCAACCAGAACTTTTATTGTGTATTTGTGAAAAAGGGCATTACAGGAACAACTGGTCAAATGTGAATCAAGTCTACAGGTGAGATGTTAATACTGCATCAACTTTGGCTTCTTGGTTTTGATGACTGTACTACTGAGGGTGTCATTTTTAGAAGTGAAAGAATCTGAGGACATAGGACACCATGTCTGGGTCTCATTCACAAAAGGTTTGAAAAAGGAAGTATGTGCACATATATAAGAAAAATGACAAAGCAAATGTCATAAATGTTAACAGCTGGGGAATCCAGCCAAAGAGTGTATAGAAATTCTTGCAACTTTTCTTTTCCTTTGAAATTATAATCATGTGCTGCATAACAACGTTTTAGATGACAAGGGGCCCAAAATATGATGGTGCTCCAATAAGCCTAAATTGCCTAGTGACACTGCAGCTCTCTAATTCAAGTCAGTATGTTCTATAATGTTTGCACGATGATGAAACTGTCCAATGATACATTTCTCAGAACGTAGCCCCATCTGAAAGCAATGTGTGACTACAGTATTGAGAAATAAACTGTATTTTTTAAAAAATAAGGCAGATTAGGTCAGCATGTACAGGGCCATGGACAGCATGCAAAGACAGGTTGCTTTCATTTTACTGACTGAGAAGCCACTGAAACTTTCAAGGCAAAACATGGTGCAATCAAAGGTTGGCCAAATGGGACAGTTAAGAGTTAACACTCTGGAAGGCTGAGGTGGAAGATCATAAGATCATAAGTTGCCCACTACCATGGGCAACTTAGCAACTTAGTAAGACACTGGCTCAAAATTAGAAAAGGGCTGGGGAGGTAGCTCAAGACAAAGGCACTGGGTTCAATCCCTAGTAATGGGGGAGGTGAAATTAGATATCAAGCAAGATTTTCACTAACCAGCGGAAAGGAGGGACTTCGAGGCAACTTCCCAGACTCCAGCTGATACATGCGAAGATAGACTTCCACCTGAGGGGTGGCATCACTGACGAAGCGAATCACTTTCAGGCCGTGAAGGACGTCACAGTACTGATCCTTGTGGTACATCATGACCTGGGTGTGAGACTCATGGTGGGGAGGCAGGATCCCTATAAAGACCCAGAACAAAATGGGCAAAATACTAAGAGGCCAGTTCGAACCGTACCTCTACTAAAAAGAACCCTGTGAGATCCAGCCTAAGGATTAGACCAGACTTCATACAAACATTTACCACCACGTAGATTCTTTTAGCAACTCTCACTGTAAGAATCTCAAGGGCTGTATATTATCAATATCAGAATGATGACTTTCTTTTTTGGTACAGGGATCAAACTCGGGACCTTGCGTTTTCAAGGCAGGCAGCAGAACCACTGAGCTAAATCCCTGGCCCAAGAATGATGACATTTAATCACTGATATTAAAGAGGAATGAAATGGCATCATGAAAGCCTTGAAATAAGCACATCACATAATTTCAAGATGATAACAGCCACAGGAGAGCTGTCAGGCTGGCGCCACCTTGCGCCCCCAGGGCCCTCTCTCCCATTTTGGCACTTGGCCTCCTACACCTCAGAACCAGCAGCCTGTCCAATCCTCCTTCCCGACAGCAGTCAAAGCTTGTTCATGAAGGATCCTCTCTTCGGGGCCAGAGAAGTCCCCGATCTTCACTGATGAGGTCACCTTACACTGCATTTCTATGGCAGTTTATGCTCCTTACTCCACTGAAACATGGCATCTGCTCTTTAGGCTATGGCATGGGAACCACATCTCTTCTGCAAGCAAGTGACATCGTAAACACATAGTGGGGAGGACCACTGGGCATGCCTGCAGTAACTCTAGGCTCTCATCTCAGGTCTGCTAAGCCCAGGACTCTCGAGAATGTGCCTATCCCTCTGGGCTCTTGTTTCCAAATTTAGCAGAGGCAGGAGATGGGACAGACAAGCATTTCCATGATGTTCTCTGCAGAGTCCAAGCCCCAAGCATCTTCCTAAGAAAAGGAAATCATGGACAGACATCTGAGGAGTGGTGGCGATGAATTTCCAAAGCTCTGTTTTGCTACAAGGCAAAACAGTTATTTATTCCAGCCTCACTCAAGGTTACCCAGCTGTACAGAAGCACAGACTCTGGATTCAAAGTTTCTAGCTCTACGATTAACTGGCTGGGGACCCTCTGACAGTTTCTTCTGTCTCCCTATGGCTTAGCTTCTCCAGCTGAAGAATGGGAATAGCAATACCTAACCTAAGGCAGGTGCTGTGATGAATAAATCAATATACAGAAAGCACTCAGAATAGTACCTGGCCATGCTAAGTTAGGATCAGTGCAAGCTAGTACATTTGACTCCGGCTCACTCTTTAGTGCAAAACACCACAGTTCCAGTATTCTGGGAAACAAAAGGTAGATGAGCTCAAAGGTGTCCAACTAACCTACTTGTCTAAATGTTCCCTTTCCTGACACAAACTTTCACTCACCATAGCTAGGGGGCTCCGTGCTAGGCTTTCAGAGAAGCCAAGGGAATACATTACTGTCCTCCACACCTGGACTAATGCAGATTAAACAACTGTACCTTGAATACACTACTACAGGCAGCACAATGCCTCCCATGTTACACCTTAAACTATTTTGTCAGGGTTGGTCCTAAAAAGTCTCTTTCTGATATTTACTTAAAATGTTAGCAGGAATCTGGCATCCAAAGATCCCTGAGCAATCAAACAAGAAAAATACACACAGCAAAAAACAAAAAAACAAAAAAACCGCTGCTAGGAAGAGTCCTTCACATTGTAAAAGCTCTGAATTTTTGGTGTCTTTACCTCAAGAAAATAACAATCATTTACATGATAATGAAAGGCAAGAGAATCAGAGACAATGAACAAGCCAGATAGGACCTGACACTCGGGAAATGTGGCAAAGCACAACAGTGCATCTCCCACCGACCTGGAGCAGTTACTAAGACATGGTACCTCCGAGCATAGAAGGGACACTGTCAACATGACTACCTAAGATGCACCCGGGAAGGCAAGTATTTTGATGACCAAAGGAAATAAGATTTAGGGGGAAAATGCTCTGGGAAAAACATATGTAGTTGCTGCCATTTCTGTAGACCGTAACTGCAGAATGATCTACCAGACAGAAGCATACAAGGCTGCGAAGATGCTTAACCAAGAGGCATTCAGTGGGGCTTTCTAGAATGGCTCATATTCTCTTGCCACCTCCACATTACACAGCCACATTTAGGGCTGCAGGATTCTCAAGTTGTGAAAATACACATTTGGGAAAGAAAACAGGGTCCATAATCTATCCTACCTTCACATGAGTTGTACAAAAAAGCTTAAATCCACCGGGGATTTAGCTTAGTGGTTCCACCGCCTGCCTTGCAAGCACAAGGACCTGAGTTCGAACCCCGGTACCAAAAAACCCCCCAAAAAACAACAAAAAAAGCTTAAATCCTAGCTCCGTCACTTGCAGACTGTAAGACCTTCCTCATAGGCCAGGTGTGGGACCTCCCAGGCTTTTTCCCATCTGTACAACTGGGCTCTCATGATCTGACTGGGAGCAATTCTAGGACTGCTCCATGTCATTGACGGAATCCACTCAGCTTTGTGAGTGGCACATAGGGAGCCCCATTAAATAGCAGTACCAGTTCGTATTCCACATGAAGCTCCATCCTCACCATTGTCAGAGGTTATAGCAAACAAACTGTTTAAGAAAGAATTGGAGGGAGGTAATAGATGGGTATGACATGCTTTAGGAGGCTCAACAATGATAGGGAAAAACATCTTGGGCTCAAAAGAGCTGCTGTTGGCTCCTGTGCTGGCTGCTTCTTTCCATAAAAACTAAGCAAGTCCATTTTCTTCTCATCACTAGAACTCATTACTTACACTGTTAGGAAAAGAAAACTCCGATTCCTTTTTGAGTCTGATAGTACACACGAAGAAGTGGCACCTCCACTCTGAGAATCACAAAATATAACAAATTTAAAGCTAAGTAACTTCAACATTCTCACTGTACAGATTCGAAAGATGAGCCACAGAGGGGGGTCTTTCTCCAGATGCCCGGGCTCACAGCAAAGAGCAGACCAGTTCTCCTTTCTCCCAGCCCAAAGTTCTGCCACACCTCTTCTCAGGAATGTACATGACTTCCTTTTCCACCACTAACAGGCTGATGATCCTAGAGTAATATTTAATGTATTTCTGCTTAAGTCACGACCGGAGGAAGACCCCAAACTCAGTAAAGATCCTAACCACTTCCACCCTTTCAGACTGTGACATGACAAAGAAGCCCATTATTCAATGCTTTCAAAGATAAATTCCCCAACATCTGGGTCTCATACCTAGAAGCACCTTCCATACCAATGCTCGGTACATGGATGGGAGAGGGAACCTCTGGCTAAAAGTACAAAGTTTCTCAATATCTAGAGGAAGAAAATACAGTTAGTTAGAAGCTTTTCATGCTAATTACACTATGCATAAGTGGATTTCATTTTTTTCTAATTGAAAGGATAGTTGAGACATTTCTTCAGGAAAAGTCTACCATATGGTCGGCAAATGTAGGAAAGGCAATACTGGTCTGATTTTTAGCCCAGGTCTTGTATCATCTTAGCTATTTAAAACAATTAGCATTTTACAGTATAAGAGATGCATTTTGCATATATTACTACCTTCTTTACAATATTAGTGGTAGTTAATAAACAACTCATCTCATTTCACCCACATTATAAGCCTATTTGGGGAGTTGTTGTTATGAAGATACAGAAGAGAAGGTCAAAGCAGTTAGTGATCCATCAGTTAACACCCTGATAAGAAGTATTATCAGTCCTCAGATCCCAAAAATTTACATTTAACAGTCCTGGCCCTCAATTCTTCTTATCAAAGAAACATTATAACACTAGACCTACTTGAAACATGGACTCCACAATGAGACCAAAATCAGGTGTGAAATATTTCTGATATTTAAAAGCTCTCTATGCTGGGTAGGGTGCAGGGCACTTGCCTAGCAAATGTGAGGCCCTGGGTTTGATCTCAGCACAAATAAAAACAAAACAAAAAACAAGCAAATAAATAGCATTCTATGCAAATAAAGCTTTTTAAACTAGGGTTTAATTTATTTCACTTTGACTAATGGCTGACTTTATTATCACTAAACATCAATATATAATGCAGTCGGGCCAGGGATTTAGCTCAGTGGTTCCATTGCTTGCCTTGCAAGCACAAGGACCCGAGTTTGATCCTTGGTACAAAAAAAAAAAATATATATATATATATATATATATATATATATATAATGCAATCTTGGTATTTCCACAAAGGAAAATCATGACTGAAGTTGCTGCAAGTTTACCTAGAAGCTATGATGACATATCTGCAAACTGACGAAAGGAAGCATAAAGGATTAATAAGGACAAGTGTTACTGTTTAAAAGACCTTGCAAAAACTTCTGTCAGTGAAATGTAAATTTGAAAATTTCAGAACTTTTCTCAAAACATAACATTCTGATGTTATATCACTGAAGAATATAACAAGTAACAAATATCCTTAGATGTCTTTGAAGATATTTATCTCAAAATAATTGAGAAGACTGAGAACCAATAAGCTTTTGTGTACATACATGTGTGTGCTTTTACGTGTGTGTGTTTGTGTGTGTGTGTGTGTGTGTTGCTTGGAAAATGAACCCAGGGCCTTCACACTGAGCTACATCCCAGCTCTTTTCTTATTTTTAATTTTGAAACAGGGTCTCACTAAATTGCTAAGTTGCCAAAGCTGGGCTCACACTGGCGATCCTCCTGCCTCAGCCTCCTAAGTAGCTGGGATAACAGGTGTGCACCACCAACCCCAGCTGAACCAATAAGCTTAATGAAACATGTAAAACTCACCCAAACGGTCATCTTTCAGGAGGATTTCCAATGACTTCTTTTCTTCAACCCCACGAAACCCCACTTTCTCATAATATACTGAACGAAAGTTTCTCTGAGAGTCTTCAGTCATGTTTCATTCTTAGAGGAGAGAAAAGAGAAAGCTGGGAACAGGGGAAACACAGAGACAAAGAACAAAGCAATGGAAAATTTGCCAGTGATTTTCTCCACCTTTTCACTTAGCTATGCTATGATAAACTGCTGGCTCTTGCAGGGGACTTGATATTAAATCATTGCATTTATGCAACTAACACAATCTCACCTGTGCACCTTGGCCAAAAATTAAGACATAAGTCAATAGCTCTGTGCTAAAATAGACTACACAAGGTTTATGCACTAGCATTTCTATTCTTCTCAGCAGAGCTCCTAGCACAATGGATATTCTGTAGCCATTGTAAAGGGCAAAGAACTAAGTTACTGAAAAGTCAGGTAAGATTGTATGTCGCAGCACAAAGTGGCTACAAAACAGTATACACTGGTTCTGTTTTTTCAAAATATACATTAAAAATTAAGACTATATTCCAAAATAGTAACAATAATTATCTATAATAGGATCCCAGATGCTTTTAACTGTCTTTCCTTTGCTTAGCTGTGCTTTCTAAAGTGGGCATTTTGTAAAATTAAAATTTTAAGTCCTAGAAAGATAAAAAGTCACAAGTTCCTCATTTTTCTTTTATTTTAAACACTGTACTTCAAAACCCCCAGTAGATATACATTATTATAATCAGAAGAGGGTCAGGAGCAGGCAATTGAAAGGTGACAGCCACAAAACTGGAGGTAGAAAAACGACATAAAATCTGGCCTGAGGACTTAAACAGCTCAGTGATCCCCGGCTGTTTCCGGAGAACCTTCCTAGTGTTGACGGGATAGCATCAAGAAAAACTCAAGTTATGTTGGTGTTTCAAGAACAGTAAAGATGTAATCCATTTCCCAAAAAATATTGCACTGCCTCGTCCAAACGTTTCAAGTGCTAGTGCAAAAAGGAAGTGCTCAGTTATTAAAAATCGGAGACGTTTCCCGCGACCAGCGGAAGGTCTCTTCCTTATTGAAAAGATATCCTGATAAGGATTCGTTTAGGAAACGAGCAGATGCTTAAAAAAAAAAAAAAATCCAAAGTATTAAAGCGCAAAATGAGTTGAAGATTTGCTTTTGAAAGGCATTCAAAGCTCCCTGTTGTCTAAGGACAGCCATTCTAAAATGGCACTAGCATGGCAAAGGCGACCGGTTGGCAGAAATACTGTCAGTGACATCTGCTGCCCATCTGACAGGAAAGGTGAGCACGACCTGGTCCCAGACCCCAAGTCCCACTGTCGAAATTCTGTACGCTTCACCTCAGCAGTGGAAACACAACCGGGTTGGGGCCAGGGTCCGCGGGAGGCAGCGGAAACCAGGCAGTGGGCGCTGCTGGACCGCAGGGTCTGGGCGCGCGGGGGCAGACGGCGTCGGGACACCTGCGCGCGCCGGGCCGGCCGAGGAGCCGCGACCCCGACACCACCGCAGCCAAGCCGGCCGCCGGATGGGACGTCAGCCCGGGCGGGGGCGGGAGCCGAGCGCACGCGTGCTAGCGCAGAGGACGTGCACAGGAAGCTCCGCCCATCCCCCCCCCCCGCGCGGTGGCGGTTACGCTCTAAGGAGCAGGGGTGTCCTCTCCGCTGGTCCGTCCGGGGGCCGGGGCCCTGTGCCATGGGGCCCCGTGCCATGGGGCCCCGTTCCTCCTACCCTTCCCTGTCCCTGATGGAGGAGACCCGAGCCCCAGCCCGTGCCTCTCCAGCTCCTTCCGGGGACGGCCCGGCGTGTTGAAATAAATGGAAACCAACCAAAGGAGAAGCTGCAGAGCTGTTTCATCAGAGCTGGCCGTCGCCAGAGGGTCAGCCTGTCTGCCCCCGGCGCTAGTCTCTTGCAGCAACTCAGGGCGGGCGGAGGAGGGGAGCTGACGCGAGCGGGGAGGGGCTGGGCTGCTGGGCTTTCCCTAGTTGGTCCTAAGTCGGAAGCAGGGACAGAAGATAGGAAAACTTATTTATAAATGAATCGTGGCCATTTGGGGTCAGCTGTTACAGAAGTGACTTCCGCTTCCTGGGTTGTCACTAGAGACAGCAGGCTGTCTTCCTGCAGGTGTGACAGAGCGGGCTGGTTTCCTGGGCTTTTTTTTTTTTTGGTACGGGGGATGGAACTCGGGACCTTGCGCTTGCCAGGCAGGCGGCGGAACCACTGAGTCAAATCCCCGGCCCTCCTGGGCTTTTTCTTGTAGACGAAGAGCTGGTTTTCTGCACAGGTTAATAAGATCAGGGTTCTGTTTTATACATGGCCAGGCTGTTGTCTGTATATTCAGCCTCTCAGGTAAAATACTATAAAAATAGGTTACAAATGATGTGAAAAAAAAAAAAAGATTCGCGAAATGCACGCTCCAATTTGTTATTAGATTCAATAGGCATAAAGTTACTCTTTAAAGTGGCTTTTAACATCGCAGGACCCTAGCCTGGCTGCAGAGCACTTCCCTGTCTTTGCCTCCTCGGGAAGTGGGAAATTCTTCCAGGAGTTGATTACTCTACCTAGCCTTAGGGCAAGTCCTAACTTATCCAATCTTATCTCTAACTAGTGCGTTAAAAGGATTAAATGAGAACGTGCATAAACGGGGTGGCCTGGTGCCTCGTATGTGACACAGGAGGGAGGTATGTGCACCAGCTGCTATTTGCAAAATCTCGACAGCAATATGACTACTTTTAACTGTCCTTCGTTATGCTTTCTGATGAACTTGTAAACCGAATATTTAGAAATTTCTACAGGAGATTTGTCTCCTTAAGGCTGTTCTCAATTTTCAGACAAGGTGACACTTTTTTAAAAAATCTCCGCACAAAATCTTACAATGCCCTCCCCCTTCACTCAAAGTAAAAAAGTCTTCAGAACAATAGCCTCCCACGCTTTTCACAATATGTCTCCTCCTACCTCGCCCCCATTTACTACTAGGAACTCTCCTGCCCTATGTCCCTCCCTATTTGTGGATAGTCTGTCCTCCTCAGCCATATTCAGATGTCCCCTTTCCGAGGCCTGCTCTTACCATCCTACCTAAAATTGCAGTCCTTCCCTGCCTCTGAAGCCCTTGTACCCAGATCTTCCTCTCACTCCTCATCACCTTCTATATAAATTACTTATTTATTTATTTAGGCTTTGTCCTCCCAGAATGTCGGCTCCACGAGGTCAGGAGTCTCAGCTTTGTTAATGGATCCATCCTGAGTTCATAGAACAGTGCCTGGCACCTAGTGCTTAACGCAGACTCAGTGAATGAAAAGGGGTCCCACACGTGAGAATGGGCGGCCATCCTTTCTTAAAATCATGTTTTTGAGCTGTTAGAGGTCAAATGGTTAGTCCTTGGACTCCTAACGCAACACAGATTCTACAATAAGGCATACAGGTAAAGCACCTTGAGGAGTTTAATTGAAATAAGTTTAAGAGGCACAGCTGCATTTTATTTAAATATATAATTTAACTGTTCCTGTGTGGCCGCCTCACTTCTCACTGCCTTGTAACTTACTGCCCTCTGGTGGTTAATTGTTTTTACTAAATTATGGAAGTCATTGTAGCGCTAGTCGTAGAATCACACCCTAAATTTAAGAGGCTCTTACAGGTCAGCTAGTCCTATTAACTGTGGTGCCGAGAGCTAAACTTCAGCACATAATGAGGGGAGAACATATTCAGAAGTGCCGTCATATCTTTCAACTTTTAGATTCACTTTGGTAGAATACTAATTGTCAGACACTATCAGCCCCCAAACAATTCCTCTTCTTTGTTTAGAGAGAAGGAAATAGACGCCCAGTGAGGTTACAAGGCAACTGTTTTCATGTTGAATAGCAACTAAAATTCTATAGTAAGAATCTCATCAGAGTCTGATTGGTGCTATGGTTTGGATCTAATATACCCCAATGGCTTCTGTGTTGAAGGCTTGGTTCTCAGTTTGGAAGGTGGTGTGACTGGTAAGAGGTGGGGCCTAGAGGGAGGAGTTAGGTCATACAGGGTGTCCTCAAAAGGCCTCGTGAAATGCCAGTCTCTCCTTTCCTGGTTCTCAGCCACCACGAGGTACAAAGCTTTGCTGTACCACACACTCCCCACCAGAATGTGCTGCCTTGCCACAGGCTCAAAAGCAATGGGGCCACCTGAATGAGCCAAAATAAACCTTTGTTCTTTATTTGTTTGCTTATTATTGTACTGGGAATCGAATCCAGGGCCTCCTGCGTGCTAGACAAGTATTCTCCTATTGAGCTACATCACTAGCACTTTTTAATATTTTGAGACAGGATCTCACTAAGTTGTCCAAGCTAGCCTCAAACTTGTGAACCTTCTGCCTCACTCTCCTGAATAGCTGAGATTACAAGTGTGCGCCACTATGCCCAGCTCAACCTTTTCTCTTTTAAGTTGGTTTATGTCATGCATTTGTTACATTAACAGAAAGCCTCCTAACACAATTGGTGAATGTATAAATTCAGATAATTCATGGGTCAAGCCACATCTTCACAACATCTAAAGAGAGACAAATGTGAGGGAGGCTCATTTCCTTCATTTTGGCGACTTGGCTAAAAAATCCTGAACTGGTTTGACTCAGTTGTTGCCAGTAACATAGACATATTTGCATCTTTCCACGGTGTGGGAGTTTATTGAATAACAATAAATTGACAAGCTACATCAATTTCATCAGCCTTATCTGACCAAGTACTCAAGGTTCACTTTGTAGCTAATAGCTGGGAAATCAGGGCCTTTTATTTCAATCTTAATTACTAATATTTGAACACTAAATTCACATATGATTTATCAGAACATAGAAAAACGGATTAACAATGGTTTCAGGATTTGAAGAGACAGAATTAAATAACGAGAATTTACAGGGATCTGAAAAGTCACCACGGGTATCTACTTTCTGTTGTAAATTCTTTTCTCTGGGAAATACTAATTTTTACCTATATCATTTGGTCCTGGTATGTGTTTACATAACTTTTAGGACGCAGAAATGTCCTGCTAGAGAAAAGAGGTGTCAATTTGTCAAAACTGGTGGCAGAGGTATCATGTAGGTTTGATTATATAGAT